TGAATTGACAGATTTGTGCCAGTCGTGCTCTTTCACGTTGGACTGGCTTAGTGTGATCTGTAATGGGTGTTTGATTTGGTGAAATTAGTTTTGACAGCCTTTGTGCACGATTGGAAAGCCTAAATATTGAAGACGGTTTCTGTTTGATTGATTGAAAACTATAATTTTCCAAGTGTCCAAGTGGTGCTCGCTGCAGAACCACAAAGGTGGCGCTGCACCAGAGTCAGCCCCGCCCATTCCATCAGAGTCAGTCCAATTCCTTCCAGTTGTCAGACTTAATAGCATTCTGGAACCAATGAGGGTGTTATAGCTAGTATCATCTAAAATGCAAGATTGAGGACTTGAGTTGAGAGGTTAATTGAACCGTTTTTGTAAAGGTTCCACGTAATTAAAAATCTAACTTTTAGAACTTTTTATCATGTTATATTGTCGTTTCCTCATAAGAAATACGCCAAAGCCATTTTTGGCCTCATTTACACATTTTCCTCCCATCTCAGCTTCAATTTGGTCCTCTCCTCCGAAGCGGGTCGGGTCTTGGTTCTCAAATCTGGATATTCTGTGAATTTTCTGATAAATTATTTCTGATATGACTTCTACTGAGACACCGCCGAAAAACCATACATCCCATCTACAAAAACACACTGGATGGTACAATTACATGTGACGCCACTACCTTGTTATCAGATGTAGTGGTGAAATGGTTGTGCAGTCAACTTGGCATGTAGTTTTGCACAGGTTCGCCTCCCGGTAGCGGCGCAAACTTTTTTCTTCTTTTCTAGCTACACTTGCCAGTACTATGTTTTTAACCATTTATTGGTATACCGTTTAAAATATAATGACTAATGTGTTTTGTAATTTTATTTATTCGTTTATTTAGCCAGTGTGAGTCCATTTGTGAGCAGAGTTTCAACTAAAATGCTGTTTAGGAACGACCAAATTCAAAGAACTTTTAGAGAATTAAATATTTTGCAGAAAATAAAAATTACAACTAAAATATAAACAAATTAAATGTTTCAGTTGGCTAAATAGATAGCTGCCGACCCCACCGAGAGTCGAACCAACATTAGCTGAGGGGAAAGCAAAACTTAAATTAGACGATCTGGCCACTACACTACCAGAGCTCACTAAACAATAGTCCTTAAATGCTGTTGTAGGCCGGTTCTGTTGGAGCGGCTATGGACAGATATTCGCTAAAAGAAACCTTTTCATTTCGGGATATATTCAGGCATTGCCATGTAGCAAGTTATATTTATCTTGCTTAATTGGAGCATAGAACATCGCATTAACATTTGTAAACTAGTAACAGCCATAATTCATGTGGGTCAGGTTAGTTTGTGATAAAATAAAAAAATAACAAGTCAGTGGGCTAGACTGTTTGCGTGAGTGGGCGGGGCTGACTCTGGTGCAGCTCCACCTTATGGTGCAGCTCCGCCTTTGTGGTTCTGCAGCGAGCACCCTCTCTAATGTTCTGACTTTTTCTGGTTATTTTAGCCTCAGTTTTGAACATTTGTGTCCAAACTATTTGTATCCTAAGCCAAATGTGCCAACTTCTATGTACTCAAGGATCCCAAAGTGTGTTATTTATTAACACAATTTTATTGGAGTACCTTTTTATTTGCTCATTAGATGATAAAATAATAAATTATAAATCACCTGCACTGCTTTTCTGTACCAGAGCACTCCAAACACTTTACAGTCGTTCACCCATTCACACACTCATCCTCACGCTGGTGGTGACTAGCTTCATTGCAACCACAGCTGTCCTGGGACACACTGACAATCACCCGAAACATAAAATATTTTAATTAAAAAGTATTTTTCTTAAAGGATCTGTAAATCTTTGTACATCTTGAACAAAAAAAGGTAAGAAATCCCTGAAACGTATGAGGTGATTGTTTTCTGGTTTCTTGGCCTTGAAAATAAATGTCAGTCCATTACCATAAACAACTCTTAAGTCACTCTTTCATCATTGACTTATGTTGTATTAAGTCCATTTCATTCAATGGTACTCACAAGTTTGATTTTAACCAAGGAGGGCTTGTGCATTTACCATTAAATTAAATTTGAAGCAAAAACCATTGTACTTTAGATTGTGTTTAATTAATATTTTCCATTGGAACAAATATTCTAACTAATTACGATATTTTGTTAGACCTCGCATTACTAAAAAATTGAACATAATAAATGTTCAAAAGATAAAAATCAGACAATTTTTCTGTCGTAATCAAGGGCTGCATGTGGCCCACAGGCTCCTCCAAGCGGTGCTAAGACACGAAGCCTCGGCTCCTTTGAATGTTCCAAGATGGGTCGGAGCAGGTTGGGGCGCTATTCTGTTGTAAAAGCAGGCCATACAGCTGACTCAGGCTGCACCATTAATGAGCCCCTTCAGTTGTAGGTCCGTGGGACAATGGAGCGGTTCAACTAGGGCGGAGCTAGGACCGTCCTTTGATTGTGGAACAGAATTACATCATTGCTAGTGACAAGTAAAATACAGACCAGAGTGCTGTTGTTTGTATTGTTGTTTGAGAACATACTTGAGAAGATTTATTTTTAACCATACCTGCCAAGTGAGAGTTCAGCTGGCAATCGACACACCCCAGAAATCGTCAATCCATTCTGGACTCCTCTATAGGGAGCCTAAGTCACGTCCACCTACTTCCGGACCACGGGTCCCTGGAAGAACAAAAAAACGAATGTAAGTCGACGGGGCTAAAACTTCTATGTTCTATTTCCCCTTGTTTTGTGCCATGGATTTCACATATGATGTCCGTGAATTTTAAAGACACATTAAGAACACACTTATTTTCGAATGGGGGGAAAGATATTTTAGGTTTTGTGTGAAAATAAGTCAGGGACTACAAATGTGCTTCATGAAAGTGACGTCATCGAACCAGACACGGAAAAAAATGAGGAAAAAGGACTGTAAGTTCAGCGAACTTCCCACAGGAGGAAAGAACCACCATTATTCTGGTCATGTGGTAAGTAGCAGCTACTTTGGGGAGAGGAGATCATGTGGTGATGCCTCATGTGCGACGTGCTGATGTGTAGTTTGTAGTCATGCTAATTACGAACATTTACAAGCTAATAAATCTCAAAGTATGCGACTGGCGTGGTCGAAACGCCCATCATTACTTTTCATTTAAATTGCAGTACAACATATGTGCAGGGCGCAGATTAGAAAATAGTGTTTTTAGCCCCGTTGACTTGCATTCATTTTTTTGTTATTCCGGGAACCCATGATGCGGAAGTAGACTTAGGCTCCCTATGGAATGGAAGCTGTCTTCTTCAGACAACTCTAATGTAAAATAAGTTACAGCAGTTTCTGAATACTATTTCTTAACCCTTTATATCACCATTAGTTTTGTATTAAATAGGCATTTACATACGATTAAGTGGTCATTTGTTAGCACAGATAGCTGTCTGGCTCTTCCAGCAGTATTTAACTGCATTATGTTAAATTAACATTAACAGCATAAAGGTTTATAAAACAGTTCCTTAATTCCTAGCATGTCCTTTACCTATCCTTTACCTCACCAGTCTTATAAGAAATAACCTCCATTTAGCCAAAGGTTGCTCATTCAGAGAGCTCTCCACAGCAGGTACAATGTGTATTGGAGGTGTGTATTGGCAACAATTTGGCGATACGATATATATCACAATATAGGAAAGACGATATATTAAAGCAGAAAATACTGGCATTTTATAAGACTGAATTTAATTAGGAAAACTCACGCCAGACCCATCCAGTGTTAACACGAGATCTTGTTCTGTCACAGTGAAGGTGGTAACAACCGCTGCCACCTAGCAGTTGGAGTTTGAATTGCATGGCCCAAAAGAAATAAAGTGAATTTTTGCATGGAAATACTCAGTGAAAATGATACGCTTTTTAAAAATATCGATTCAGCATCATAACACAAAAAAAAAGCCATATTTCAGTACATGGATATTTTCTTACAACCCTCAGATTTCTTCACTTTTACACAGAAACCCACATGTAAAAGACAAACTATCCAGCATAATTTTACTACAGTTACTTATACCATTATAAGAACAAATGAAGGTATATTTTTACATTTTTCTAATATTTCTTCTGATGCCTAACTTGCTCTAATGTAAAAATGTCAAAAAAATAAATTGCTCTTGTTAAATTGAATGAAGATAAAAGATAAAATCTTCAGCATGAAGTGTATTTTCTGATGTATCCCCTGTTTAAGACTCACTTTACCTTTAAATTAATGACAGCTTCCCTGAAGTAAAGTGCAGGCATTCATCAGATGTAAAATTATGATGCAGCCAGTTTGTTTCCCCAGAGTTTTCTATTTATCATAGGCATCCGTCTGGAGAATTGCACCCCAGCCTTTACACAAAAACACTTACGCATGGTGTGGATTACCTGTTGATGGATGTCTTATATATATATATATATATATATATATATATATATATATATATATATATATATATATATATATATATATATATATATATATATATATATATATATATATATATATATATATATATATATATATATATATATATAAACACTCCTGCAGGCAGGATACATAAAATTAATATTTTTAAGTCACATCTTAATAATAAATTTAAACTTCCTTCATTTGCAGCTTTCAGAAAAATCGCTGAAACTTTAATGAGGTTGTTAAAGGGTTTGTGCAGTGAAGCACTGGGGAGTCCTAAAGAGTATTTTCTCTATTCACACCAGCTTTGGCCTCTCCTGCAGCTTAATGCTACCTTTCAAATGCAATGCACTATAGTTATAGTTTCTGGTACAGTGCAAAGATTGGGTTTTGAGGATATCAGGTGTTCATTGTGCGAGCTGTCAATTTCCTGTGGTGACAAAAGTGTTGCAGCAGCACACAAAGCCCCAAATCTGGCTTTCTATTTGGCCTTTTGGGGCCCAAGAGATCAGGTAGCCAGAGGTAAATGAATACTGGTGCCAATGGTGTTAAGTGCTGCTTTTCTTTTCTGCTCTGCTCCAGGTGTTTCTACATCGTCTCAACCAATATGCAGCGACTAAACTCGATAAAAACATCACGGAGGAAACAGTTAAGGTAAGAGGAGTTTGGTTGTGCACCCAGTGTGGGCCAACGGGGGCTATGGCCCCTTTCGTTGGTGCCCCTTCTCCTCCACTCTTTTCTTATAAATAAGAATTTTAAAAGGATATTCACAATAAGTATCCCTGTATTAACGTTATTACTAACTAACTATTAAATAAAGTATTAACAACTGCTTACAATGAGTGTCCTTAAGGAGACTAATTAGTTAATACCAGGAATGTTAATACAGAGATCCTTTGTTTATTGGTGCTTAATAATGCACATTAGTAAAGGGATTCGTATTGTAAAGTATTAGCGGGATATTCCACCCCTAAGTGAAATTTAGTCAGTTGCCATATTCCTCAGATTTAGTGGGAAAAAGCATTTTGTAACCAGCCCAGTCATTCTCCCAATCTGGCAGGATTCTGTTAGCTT